TAATGTTATATGGCTCCGGTTATGCACAGTATATATGTGACTGTATGAAAATGAAAAATGGAAAATAAAAACACATTTACAAGTAAAAGGCAGGCATCCTGTGTGCCAAAGGATCCGCATGTAGGTCTCCGGGTGGGACGAGGGCCACGGACTGCAGAGGCCAGTGGGGGCTTCTCTGGGGTGAAACTGTTAATAAGGGCATTTTTAGGAAAAACTGACACTTTATATGTTGTCACGAAAATTATAATTTCCCTGCACCTCTGGCATCCTGGGTGTAGATATGTGCCCACACAGACTGGTGCTGCCCTTACTGCTGGGAAAGCTGCAGGTAGGCCAGGTGAGATGGAAGTGGGTAATCTATTCTGGACCCTCCGTCCTTTCTTCTATTTCTCTCTTTTTTTTAATCTATCTTCTCTTTCTTTTCCCTTCTCTATTTCTTTTTCTTTTTAATCTTTCTTCCTTTTTCTTCCTCTTCTTGTCTTTCTTTTTTCCCCTCTATTTCTCTCTACGTCTTCTTTTCTTCTTTTTTTCCTCTTCTTTTGCTTTCTCTTCCTTTTCTTCCTTCTTTCTTTTTCTCACCCCTTTTTCTCTCTCTTCCTTCATCTCTTTTCTTTTTGCTTCCTTTTCTTTCCCTCTTTTCTCTTTCTGTATTTCTCTCTCTCTCTTGGATGGTTGACCCCAAACCTAAAGCCCATCGTGGCCCAGCCATTGCCAGCGCCGGAGTGGGACAGGGGAGCCTGGCCTCAAAGTATTGCTCACCTCTGCAGCTCTGGCTGAAAGGCCCGCTGTGGATGCTGGTGTGCCAGGCCAGCCCCAGCAGCCCCTCCCCCCCCCAACAACCCTTACCATTCAAGGGGATCTCCGTCTCCTGCACCTGCTCGAAGGGGACCTTCCGCTCCTGGTCTTTCGGGAGGACGCCTTTGGCAAACACCACCGAGACGGGCACCGTCATCTGGAACTGAACCGGAGAGCACCCATTGGCCAGGGAGAGGCATAGCCCCACGCGAAAGGCCCCCCCGGGGTCCCTGCCCTTAAACCGGCTGGGAATCTTCAGAGCTGCTCGCCAGGACGCGTGGAAGGCTCCGGCTTCAGGCAATTAGGTTTAAACAAGTTGGTTGATTAATATCCAGCCCCACTTAGACAGAATGGATGGTGTGTNGATTTTTAGCCTCTTTTTTGAGCAAAGAATGTGCCTCTTACACTCTGAAAAATATGGTATGTATATTATCCAGGAGAGAAAAAGGTGGCATAAGGAGCTGCAAGGTTCTTTTTTTTTTTTTTACTTTATAGTTGTCCTGCTTTGAAGAGTATGAATCAGTGGTGGGTTGCAGATGGTACGCCCTGATATTGACGTACCGGAGCCTGCCCGGAGCACTGGGTACTCTTCCGGCATGGTGCTCCAGAGAGCCCACCTGTCCGCCCGAGCTCCATACAGCGCCTGCGCAATGCTCCACTGAGCAGCTGGAACATCGCAGAGGCTTGCAGAGGCGTCGCTGGAAGGCACTCGTTCATGTGGAGGATGCCAGGCCCCTTTGCAAGCGTACCAGTTGCAATGGGATCCGGAACCCACCACTGGTATGAAGACATGTGTCCCATGGACCTAACTGGGTCTTTCCATGGACTGCTGGAGGATAAGGTCATCCTGGGTTATTTGATGAATACTGGCTGACCAATTTGGATTAAAATCTGGTCTAATGCAGCCAGGCATGTGAGTGATGGTGGTGGTGGTAGAGTTATCTGGGCTGTTGGTCTTACAGAAGCCTTCTTGCCGATGTACTTTTCACTGCAGATCTCTTCTCTTGTGGAGTGAGGAAGTGATTGTTGATGCCTCTTTTACAGCACTGAAAGCTAAAGCTGAAGTGCTCTGCAGAGGAATTAGCTTCCCCTCTCCAGGATGGATGACACTGAGCAAATCATCAACCTTAGGAACCAGAGGGAGCAGGTGCAGGTGAGGTTGGGGCCTCAGGAAGCCGAGGTGGATCTGAACATCTATAGTGATGGAGATTGGTAGATATGGTGGGAGACTGGAAGTGGACCATCCTTAGAGAATGCAAGCCCTGGTGTCATATAGCACAGAGGTTGAGTTCAAAGTACTGGGACATGGATACAGTATACTCTTTCCATGTTCCAGTACTTTGAACTCAACCTCTGTGCTCACTCAGCAGACCCTCAGAATCCTGGCTTATGGTTGCTGTAACTGACTGCCAGCTTGGTTTGTAATAAAGCCTCTCTCCTATGTGATTTATTTACAGGTGTGAGGGATGACCACTTATGTATTATTGAGACCTGACTGGGACTAGAAGGTAGGATTCCCCTTTCCCAAATATGTCCAGCTGAAATCTCAGAGGAGTGGTGGTGATGTGACAATTGTCATCTGGGAGTCAGTTAAAGATTTCAAGGGCCCTGCACCCCAGATTGACAGATGTGAGACCCTGTTCATTAAGTTGGGTGGTAGGGATAATTTGGGATTATTGCTATTGTACCGGTTTCTCTGTTGCCTAAGATGCTTGTCTCCATTGTTGGGAGACTGCTGGGTTAGTGGTGGAGATTTCTAGACTTATGGTGCTGGTAGACTTCCCTCTGCCTTTAGTAGCCATAGGTGGCGCAGTGGTTAGGGGTGCAGTACTGCAGGCCACTTCAGCTGACTGTTATCTGCAGTTCAGAGGTTCTAATCTCACTGGCTCAAGGTTGATTCCGGCTTCCCTCCTTCCGAGGTGGGTGAAATGAGGACCCAGACTGTGGGGGCAATATATGCTGACTCTGTAAACCGCTTAGAGAGGGCTGAGAGCCCTATGAAGCGGTATATAAGTCTAACTGCTATTGCTATCTGTCTGTCTGTCTATCTATCTATCTATCTATCTATCTATCTATCTATCTATCTATCGATCGATCGGATTGTTAGTGGCAATATATGCTGACTCTGTAAACCGCTTAGAGAGGGCTGAGAGCCCTATGAAGCGGTATATAAGTCTAACTGCTATTGCTATCTGTCTGTCTGTCTATCTATCTATCTATCTATCTATCTATCTATCTATCTA